AATTTTTCTGGCAACAGCTCTTCACAGGTAAACATAGAGCAGTATCCACATATGTTAAGAAATATTGTTAATGATGTGATAGAAAAGTGAGTTGCACAACTAAGAATCGAATGATTTGTTTTTTTCCCAAATATTTAATCCTGAGGCCTACTTTAAGTTACTTCCTATGGCAAAAGAATGAGACAAATAATTCTCCCTGCTACCTCACTGTTAAGGCTTTGAATACAAGAAAAAGGTAATAAGCTGCAGCAAGTAGCCAGAAAATAGGCTGGGTTTTTAACTCCCACTACTTATTATGTCTCTTTCTATTTCAGAGAATCAATATATTCAGAAAAGGTGCTTGGTGAAAAAGAGCAACATAACTCAAAATTTCCTTCTCAATATCCAAATGAATGTCTAGGAGATCTGTACTTGGCTTTTCTATACTTTGTAAACATAGCCTAATGAAAATGTCAGTTTGCTCTGCCTGCCATTCCCCCTCTCTCCAACACTCCACAGTCTGAGTGTCTGCTTCTTTGATTGCTGGTACCCGCGTGCGATACACAATAAGTAAACTAACTTCTTCTAAGGAAATGATGACACACTTTTTGCACCTCGCTCATGTTCACTTCCCTTCCCTACCTCACCCTCTCCTCTCCCCACTGCCCCGGATCCTTTCCCATCTCTATGAAGTGTACTCTCCGTTTCCTGCCCTCCCTCTTTTATTTTGCTCATTTTTAATATTTATATTATATACCACGGGACATTTATCCTTCTCTGTCTGATTTATTTCACTTAGCATTGTGGTCTCAGCACCCACCCATTTCCCTATAAATGTCTCAGACACACCCTTCTTTACCGCTGAGTTGTGCGACACACTATCTCTTTACCCCGCCGTCTGCTGGTGTGCATGTTGGTGGCTTCCATAACTTGGCTGTTGTGAGTTGTGCTGCTATAAACATGGTTTGCATGGCTCCCTGTAATGTGATGCCTTTTACTCCTTCAGGAAGATACCCAGAAGAGATACAGCTCAGTGAGAGGCGATTTCTGCTTCTAGCTTTTTGAATCTCCACCCTGATTTCCACAGCGGCTGCACTGGTTTACACTCCCAGCAGCGATGCAGAGGGCTCCTCTCCCTGCACCTATTCACCGGCATCCGCTGTTCTTGGGCCTCCAGATGACAGCCGTGTTCTCTGGGGTCAGAGGGACCTCAACGCTGTTCTCATACGCATTCCTCCAGTGGCCAAAGACGCGGAGCATTTTCTCCCTTCCTTATCGGCCACTTCCTCTGTAAGAAGCTTGTTTGAATCCTCCATACACAACTTTTGGTGAAAGTTCATCTGATTTTACCACTAAAGATACTAACTACTTAATTCTTTCTCCATTTCACATACACAACCACCTTACATGTATTTTTTCCGGGATGTAGTCTATCATTCTAACAATCCAAAGTCCTTCTAGAAGCCCCAGTGATCGAATGCAGGGTTCATGAAAATTCAGCTGTGATAAAGTGACTGAAAATGACAGCTATAACATAAAAGAACAGAAGATCTCACTAAGGATACAGTAACCACGGACCCTGACTCTCCGAGGAACGGTCTCAGAAAAACCTGATGTACAGCGCTTCTGTTTGCATACAGAAAAGCTGCGAGCTGCCCAGCGGCAAGAGAAAAATCCCTGCTGTGTGCTACGCAACAAGTGTGACATCCAGAGCCAAAATACGTGGAAGATTTTTTTCCCAGCAGAATAGTGAGAAGGAGCCTGTTCCTTGTTCTGCGGGCTCCCTGCAGCGTGGACAGGCCGCCCGGCTTCATGCGGGAGGCTCCAGAACCGGCTCTGTCCACATCCGCAGTGCGCGTGTCCTGGGGAGCTTGGATCGCGACCCACCCTCGAGGGGCTGAGCCCCCTGGGGGCTGAACCTCCCCGGGATGGAGACAAGCGCCTTCTGGTTCTCCCATAAAGTCTGTTGCTGCAATGCAGGGTGGCGGAGCACCCTCTCAGGGCAAGCCCGTGGACACTTTTGCTTTCATCCGGATTTCTTTGCTTCCTGACTCTGCCTCCTCTGGTGACCAGGAGCCCACGGGGGCCGCTACAGCCGAGGCAGGGGCGGGGCCGCAGCCAGCACCCCATCCCCGCAGCTCCTCCTCATTTTCATGCTTGAGACCCGAAATATTTATCTTCACTTAAAACCCAGACAGTTTTCAATGATTATACAAACTGCAACATAATTCAAAAAGTATTCCTAATTTAAAAACTCATTTTGGGTTCTATTTAAGGCAGGAGTATAACATTTTCTGACTTGGTGTTAACTGCATGTTATTCAAAAGGCTGTATCGGCAATAAAGTATATAAATGAGCCGGGAAAGCAAATACATTGACCGCTGCGGCTCTTACGGAATTTTGCCCTTCTGACCTCCCCTGCTCTCGCAGTGTCCCAATAAAATGTTTCAATATCTCAGGAATTTTCCTGATTAAAATTTTTAAAACCATTTGAACATAAATTCCTTAATCACGTCTCATTTTTTAAAAAAGTAACTATTAGTCACTTACTAAAAGAAATACTCAAAGGTTCCAAAAAGACAGCTCAACTGAATTCTGCTGATGCAGAATTTTAGTATTATTTTATAATCAAATTTGGAGTACAAATAATTCAAACATGCTTAGTTGTGCCTACCATCCACGTGTAACTGGTTCACGCGACACCCTAAACCATTCCTTTTTGTTCAGAGCCGATTGATCAGTTTCTTTCTAAAATTAGACTTCAGTCTTGACACACTTTCCTTATATCTAAAGAACGCAGGTATTGTGATTTTAGCTATTTTTCCGTATTTGTTTTGCCAGATGAGTAGGAAGCGTACACAAAAGTTGTCCATGAAACTATTTGCCGTATCGCCGTCATCGTGCCGAATCAGTAGGCTTCCCACGGCTGGCACAACACCTGGAGCCCCCACTTAGACGTTTGATTGGCTCGCGGCGTTGTGCCCCTTGTGGAGACGGAGCCCCAAAGCCTCGTGATGCCACAGGTGCGGCTTTTCTGAAATTGATTCATGGCTCATGGATTGACTCACGGTGCGATGCGGGGCTCAGGGGCACTAGGATTAAAGGCGTGAGTGCTGCCTCCCCAAGGAGCCTGCGCAAGATAAAAGGGGCGGAAAACTCTGTTCAGGGCCCCTTCTTGCTCCCTTGTTGCGTTTGCTACCTTCTGTTGGCAGCGAACTGCGGCCCTCTACCCACCCTGCCTTGGAGCCAGCTGATTATGGACTGAAACCTCTGTAAACTCTGAGCTTAATAAACTCTCCTCCCTTTAATTTTGGGTGTCAGGGATGCTGTCTCAGCCACAAGAGAAAAGTAACAAAGACTCAGTTTCGGGGGCTGACAGCCGTGGTCAGCTGGCTCTAGGGCAGAGACAGGGCAGCGAGCCGAGCAAAGCACAGCTGCTTTACTCACAGAGGCCAGAAAGCGGGCACGGAAGTAGCCCCCAGGAGGAAAAGGCCGGGTGTCAGAACCAGCACCAAAACCAGGCCTCCAAGTCCACCCAGACACGCCAAGGAGTGTGCTCTGCTAACCCCCGGGACATTCCATAAAGCCAATCAAGCTTAGCTGTTACACACATACTCTGATTCTTTCTACTCTATAGCTTCCTTTGTTACAGAAAAATGATAATATATTTTTGCATCCTCTTTCTTTTCCTTCCTATTCTGAACAGGTAATTCTCTTTGACCCTTTAAAGGCCTGGGCTTTATACCACGGTTCAGGGGACCAAGTGAGCGAAGAAAGAAAAGGGGCCACACTGCTTTGCGTTGGAAAAGACACAGTGGCTTCTTAAAGGAAAGGACAGCAAGAAAAGTGACAATCAGTGGAGGCTGGTTTCAGAAGCATTTGGGGAGTTCTGAGGACGAGCAGTCAGGAGCTACGTGTGCTGCAAGATGTGCGGGAAAAGGAAGGCGCAACTGTATGATATACGACTGAAAAACCTCTGGGGTGTTTTTTATTTTGTTTTGTTTCTTGTACTGGGGGTTGAATCCAGGCAGTGCTGAACTACACCCCAACCACTTTCACGTTCTATGTTGAGATAGTTGCCCTAAGTTGTCCAGAATGGCCTGGAACTCGGTATCCTCCTGCCTCTGCCTCTTGAGTAACTCTTTGGTATTTTCTAAGAAACACTGATGAATTGCTTAACAACATTTTTGGGATGATGTCTTTTTTTCTTTGTTTTGTTTGGGTTTGGGTTTGGGTTTGGTACCAGGCTCCTTGCACTTGCAAGCCAGGCGGTGGAACCACTGAGCTCAATCCCTGGCCCTGTTTGTTCTAGACATACTGTGCTCAGGTTGACATCTGAGAGACAGTGATGAGTCCAGATTTTTACATAGACACCAGCATGAATTGTGGAGTGTTGCCCCATTAGGCAATAGACATTTAATCTGTAATTTCAGCCAGGATGATGGTTCAGGGCTATAATCCCAGCACTTGAGGCTGAGACAAGAAGATCACCAAAGTGCACAGCAAGCTTGGGCTCTACAGTGAGTTCAAGGCCAGTATAAGCTGGCCTTGTATGTCTGTATGTACACATGTACATACACGTGTGTGTGTGTGTATACGTACCCAGAAATGTATGTGTTGTATATCTACATTTATATTTATATAATAAGTGGGCAGAAAAGGGGCCAATTTCTATTATAGGATTCAAAATAATTTATAAAGCTATCCTGCCCTCAAGCTAATACAGCCTAACTCCCCCTTCCTTAGGCACATCTGTAAGCCCCTTACAAATGTTATAGTAAGAAAGAGAGAAGAAAAGAGGGATTACAGTGGAGAAGCCTGATAAATTAAGGTCAACACCGTCATTTACTTCATGCTGATTGTATATATCTTTGATATCCTGCGATGAAAGCAGCACTTAGCCTATGCTCTTTATCCCAAAGTTTACAGGGCCATCTAATCACAAGAAAAATATTAGATAAATCATAACACAACTGAGGGAGACTCTACAAAGCACTCTTCAGAAGTGGCAGGCTCAGTCCATGAGATGGATTCTTGGTCATCAGAACAAACAAGTCAGTGCCATAAATTGTAGACACTGTCACACCAAGTTCACAGAACAGCAACTGAAAATTCCCTTTGATATCTTTAACCAAAAACCTTATCTGCTGTATGCTACCAAGGAAAAATTGCTTTGGATATCAACCCCAAAGAGTCAAGAATCCAAATGCGGTTTCAAAATCAAAGAGCCAGACACGGATCCCAGAAAAGACCAAAATTTAAGGAGGTTTTAGAGTCACACCAAGGGCAAGGATGAGATGACCTTCAAGAAGAGCTTCACAGTACAGAAGCCAGCCAGTGTGGTACCAGCTATAGCTCCTCTCAGTTACATCCTGCTCAAAGTAATTATGAACAACCCTTTCCCTGGAAATGACTCCAGAGAACACGTGGGGTGCTAGAGTCAAGAGTTCAAATTTGGCCTCAAAACTGAAGATGTATCCAGAGAAAAAGCAAACCTCCTGAGTTCTTAGAACAGGACCAGGGACAAGATCACCAGCTTTCGCCAGCAATTCCAGTGCTCCAATCTGGCAGACACAGAGACAAAGTTGGCGTGTTTAGTATCAGCAGCCCAGGCCAGGCCGGAGACCTCTCACAGCCTCTGAGAGTTCATCTTTCTACTGCAATGCCAGCTAAGCTTTCTGGAGGAGACACAAGATGATGAGCAGGATCCCAGGCGGCAGACACAAGTACAATGCCGCAGCCCCAGCAATCCATTCTCACTTCAAAGTTCAGCAGACTTTGAAAAAATAAGATTAATTTAGTAGCAATCACTTTTCAGTCATTTAAGTAATGATTGGTTCTGGAAAAAAAGTCATCAATTGATGTAAAAACCTAAAAATTGATGAAGAATAGCATATATGCATCATTTCAAAGCATCTCCTCAAACAATTTTTTTTGTTGTTGTTTGTTTTTTGAGACAGGGTCTCATTATGTAGTTCAGTCTGACCTGGAACTCACTATGTAGCCCAGGCTGGTCTTGAAGTCACAGTGATCCTCGTGCCTCAGCCTCCCGAGTGCTGGGATTACAGGCATGTGCCACCACGTCCGGTTCAGATTTTCTTAATTGACACATAAGAACTACACATATTTTTGAGGTACCCTTGATATTTCAATACACATATACATTGGGTAATGCTCAAATTAAGGTAAGCATATCAGTTTCCTCAAACATTATTTTTGTGGTGAAAATATTCAGTACCTTTTCTTTTAGATTTTTTTGAAATGTACGTCTTTATTATTCACAATTGCCCTACTGTGCAATAGAACAGCAGAATTTATTTCTCCTGTCTGCCTGCAAATTTGTGTGCATTGACCAACCTTTCCAGGCCACTCTCTCCCCTCCTCTCCCCAGGCCTGGTAAACCTGCCGTACTCTCAGTTTCAATGAGACTGACATTTTAGATTCTGTAAATGGGTGTGATTGTGTTATATATGTCATTCTGTACCTGGATTATTTCAATCAACATGTTACAAATGACCAGATTTCATCTTTATATAGGGCTGTATTCCACTGTACATATATGCACGTTATATATGTATATACTTTTTGTGTTTTCTTTATCCATCCTTAAGGTGTCGGGCATGAAGGTGGATTTATTGGCTACCGTGAAAAGTACTGCAAAAAGCGTAAGAGTGCAGATACCTCTTCAACACACCGATTTAATCTCCTTTATATACTGTATTAAGGTTCTCTAGAGGAACTGAATCGGTAGGAAACAGATGTCTCATTATCCAAGGAGATCCATTAGGTGGCTCACAGGGTCAGAGGAAGGAGAGCCCACAGCACTCATCTGTTTCCCAGAGAGCCAGAGGATCCAGGATCTGCTCAGCCCAAGAAGAGAGAACCTGTGGAATAGAACTCAGCACCAGCCCAAGGTCAAGGGCCTAGAAATCCCCTGGCAAGTCACCTGTGTGAGTCTGCTGTGGAAGGTCGAAGAAGTTGGAGATGGACATCCGAAGGCGATGATGACAAAGATGAGAGTGCTGCCACATGGGAATACGTCCTTCTTCCCCTTTATCTTGTCCGGCTGCCCTATTGGTTGGTGCCACCCACATCCGGGTGGGTCTTCCCCTCAGTTTGCTGTGTGGCACATCAGTCATCCACAGAAACCCCCAGAACTGTGTTCCTCTGATCTGCTGGGCACTTCTTCAGATGCTGAAATGATATACTATGATGTATACTGAGTACAGGGATTACTGGGCCAATGAGGCAGTTCTATTTTCTGTTTTTAAGGAAACTCCATACTCCCTTCTGTGTTGACTGTACTAACTTACATTCCTACCTACAGTGTGCCAGGGCTCCCTTTTCCTCTACATCCTTTCCAGCACATGTTATCTTTTGTAATTTTGTAATACATATTCTAAGTCTAGTGAAGTGATAGCTCATTCACATTTCCTTGATGATTAGTGATGTTGAACAGTTTTTTTCATATACTTGTTGGCTATTGTATATGTTATGCTGGTTTATTGTTTTTATTTTTGTGTTGAATTTCTAGAGTTCTTTATATATTTAAATATTAAACCCATGACTAGCAATTGTATGTACCAATTGTCTTCACCTCTGGCCCCAGGGGCATCCCTTTATGCAAAATGCATTTAGTCCGTCTCTAAGAGTTGTCAGAGTCCTAACAGTTCCAGTATTGCTGGAAAGTTCCAGTCCAAGGTCTCTTCTGAGACTTAAGGGAAACTTTAAACAGCCCTTGTAAAAATCAAAAAGTTAGTAAAATTGTGCTTATGGATTGTTTCAAAAAGATACCAAGATTAATTTACTCGTTATGAACTATGAATAATGACAGATATGAAATATTTCTGAGTTGGGATATGTGTGAAATATAGACATATGTTATATCGATATCTTCTGAATCACGCACTAAAGACGTGTTGGGGCATCAGTGACGCGTGAACTGTTCAGTACACGGCCTCAGCGAAGGCAGGACTTGAACTGGGTATTATGGATGGAGAAATCCATGGAGAGGATGAAAGCCACAATTATGAGCAAGTGAGCACAGCATCAGCAAAGGCGTGCAGGGAGTGTGGTGTAGTGAGAGGCCAGAAACAAAGGTCGGTGACCAGAGACAGAGCTCAGAAGAAGTGATGGCAAAGGAAGTTTGGATCCTGTTAACACGTTAACAACCCAAACTCGCAAACAGTTTTTAATCTAGTTTATGAGTCCTTACTGATAAAATAACCACACGCTCCTCGTTCTTTTTCACATTTGCATTGTTCACGTCTGACCTCCTGGGAAGCTGAAACAGAGCTGTTTCCTTCCTGTGGAGCAGCCCGGGAGGGAGGGGCGTTTCCTGTACACCTCCAGGGCCACCGTGGACTTGAGCCCATCTCCGAGGACAGCGGCATGAGCCTCGTTACCTCCGTCCTCTCCCCTCTTTCCTCCTGTCACCACCCTACCATGCCCCTAACTCCTGACAAATAAACTCAGCCCCTGAAACCTTGTCTCGCTTCTGTTTTGTGGGAAACACAAACTGAGGCACTTTATTTTTCAATAAAATTAAAATATTTCATGTTCTTAATTCAACCCTCAGAGCCGCTTTTCCAGCCAGGAAGTAAACGCTGTCAATAATTCCAAATACTTAGTAATTTATAATATGAGTAATTATTTAAATCAGATCATTTAGGGAATTTTTTCTGATTTAAAAGTGGCTAATGGAGCTGCAGTGGCATAATCCGCACATGGTCTGGTGTAAACGTAGCTAAGGTTTGGACAACAGTAACGCAAGACTGAGGGCTACAAAAAATCTTTTTAAAGTGTTTTATAAAGTAAGTAATCAATCTTTATAAATTTTACAACTGCTTCAAATATAGAATAGGATGTGTAATCACTGTTGAGTAACAGAATCTAAAATGTAAGTGTCTTACATATATTACTTAAGTCTCTTTTGTATGTAATCTATGTCCTTCTTGTTGTGTAAAAATATTAATTTTTACATTACATTCTAATCATTCCACTTCTCATTTTGTGTATTTCATTAAAAACATTACTTAGTGCACATGTTTTTTGGCCTTATAATTACCTGGTTTAATATTTTGGCCCAGAATTTCTACTTGTTCTTGTTGTACTTTTTCCATAGCTGCTTATTTCTGGTTTCTCATATGCCTGGTATAATTTATTTTCAGGTTTCTTTCTCCATTTCATTTGAAATATTAGATTTTTTTCGCCACTGAAGGTGAGAATTTCTTGTCTTTTCATCAGAGATTCAGTAGTTCCCCTTAGTTTCAACTGATCACTTTTCATGAGTTTGGCTTTTCATGTTTACTAACTTTATCTTTGGCCCTAAATTCCATAAATTTGACTACATCGGCAGTGACCTTGTCATCCCCTTCTTTCTTCCATCCTAACTGACCCGCTGACCTCCACACAATGCTTTTACCATTTGTATTAGGTTCTTTTCTCTTACTGCTGAGACAAAATATCCAACACCGAAGGTAAAGAGGGAATGGTTAATTGAGCTCACAGTCTGTAGAGGCTTCAGTCCCAATGGGCTGGCTCCAAAGCAGTAAGGTGGACAGACAGAAGCAAAGCAGCAAGAGACCTCCCTAGAGTCTTTGATTTCGACTGCGTAGGGCAGGCAGCACTCATGCCTTCATCCTGTGCTCTCAGGGCGAAGGCTCGTCAGGAATCAGTCACACTCTCTTGCTTCGGCCAACTCCAAAATAACCTATGACCGCATGAGGCTTTGGGGGGACACCGTGACCCTATAATTAATTTCTTATTTCTAACAAACATAAGCAGCATTTGTCTATTTCTTATGTTAACATAAAGTCACAGTCATCTCTTCTGTCAAGTTTCTTTATTTGACTACTCCCTCCGTGAGAACATGACATTTTTAGAGTATTTTATATTCGTCACGTCAGCTCCTCTCCCCTGCTCCATCCCCTCTGAGTCACACAGTCAGCTCCCCTCCAGCTCAGGGCCCCACCCCACCCCATGCACAGCTTCATCCTCCTCTGACATTTCATCAACTTTTAGGGTTAGGCTACCATTGCCATTTCTCTCACAATTTATCTCTTGTTTCAAAAGTCTTCATTTCTTGAAACAGAAGGTTAAACGCCTTATGGTTTCTTTTATATCAAAAACCCAAAGCATAAATAACTTACAAAGCTAAATAAAAGACAGATAATTGGAACCAGGGAGATAAATCTTTTGCAGAAAGGAAGGGGACTGAGAGATGAAAGGAGGCGGGGGTGGAGGGGAAGGGACCTGAAAAGGACTAAGATGCTTTGTGTCCACAGACCAGCTCCCTACGGAGGGTGTGTTCCCACGCACTGCAGATGTGGACGACTAACACATTCTTTTCAGAAAGTCCTGATCTCGTGATCACATTGCAAGTTACTTTACATCTTTAACACGCTAAGACTCACCATTCCCCCTCTTTTCCCGCCTCTGTCTTTCTCCTTTTTTAAAATACAGAGCTCTCTTATTTTTGTAATGTAACAATACCACCAAGTCATAGTTTTTCAAACTAATTCTGAGACAGTGAACCTCGTGAATCTGTAGTCTTTCATCAGCACAGGAAATTTTATTTTCTACTTAATTAATGCTCTCTGCTTATTCTTTTTTTCTCTTCCTTTAAGGAATTTTTACTGTCATTTATGTCTGACTCCTGAAACTATCCAAGTTCCTTCTCTTTTCATGATTTTCATC